TCTGAGTTCAAGGCCAGCCTTGACTACACAGCAAGTTCCAGGTCAGTAAGAGCTACAGTCTCTTACTGAGTCTCTGCCTAAACAAAATAAGAAAATGAAAATTAAATAAACTTAAAAAAAACAGCTTTAATAAAAATAGGCTTTTTTTTCTTTCTCAATGATGCAAATATAAGTCAGATCAGACCAGATTAGAAGTAGATAAAGGCAATTTTATTGGGAGGCAGTTCTTGGGTAGGTTCACCTCATCTTACAAGTATAGGCCAGTAAATTGACATATCCAGGATAAAGCAAGGGGGGGGTTATAGAATTGAAGGGAGGAGTGATGATGTTGTCAGCTAGGAGTTGGGATGATGTCCATAATGGTCAAAAACCGAGCCCTTGGGCGGACACTCCTAGAACAGAAACTTCTCTGAGAGCGGGGTTGGGAGAAGGAGGGCAGCCGGGTGTTTCCCAGCATCAATGATGGTACAGTTTTTCCCACAGCCAAAATCCATGGGTCTAGGAATCAAGGTGTCGAAAAGGGAATCATTCCATGCACTATCATTGCTAGTAACCCACTAGGAAAATTCTTGCCTCCTGTTCTTGACCCTAAATTCTGCTGGCCTAGAAGTTTTGGTTCCAGAGACACACCTCTATGGCCAGGAGCCATAACAAACATAACAATTGAACTGGAAGTTCAGACTTCCCCCTTGCCACTTTGGGTTTCTGATGCTTTTAAGCCAATAGAAAAAGAAAGGAATAACAGTGTTAGGAAGGGTGACTGATCCAGATTAGCAATGGAAAATTGGATTGCTTCTCCACAGAGGAGGTAAGAAAGATTAGGTCTGGAGTACAGGAGATCCTTTAGGGTGTCTCTTGGTACTACCATATCCTATGGTTAAAGCCTATGGGTAACTACAACAATCTAATCCAGGCAGGATAACAAAGGGCACAGACCCTTCAAAAATCAAGGTATGAGTCACACCTGAATAGGGTAGGAAGGGAACAAGGGCTTGTTAAGGGTGGAAATACAAAATGGTTAGTAGAGGAACCTAGTTAGTTATAAATACCTGCTAAGGGGGCTGGAGAGATGATGGCTCAGCAGTGAAGAACAGTGACTGCTCTTCCAGAAGTCCGGAGTTCAAGTCCCAGCAACCACATGGTGGCTTATAACCATCTGTAAAGGGATCCAATGGCCCCTCCTGGTGTGTCTGAAGACAGCTACAGTGTACTCATATTAATTGATTAAATAAATAAATAAATAAATAAATAAAACCAGCTAAGGCTATGTCACCAGTTGCAGAAATGAGGATTAAAACTGACATGAGTGTTTGTCATATTTTGTTAAGAATGTATTTACAGAGATTTGTGTTTTCCTTGATTTCTTTTGGAATGTAACACCAAATAAGAGAATATCAGTGGTTATATTTAAGTTTTGAGATACCAAAAGAATGTCCCTCAAGGGACACTGCCATCTAGTCTAACATGTATAATGCATTTGCAATTATATAAAGGCTAATTATATCATGCCAGGTGTGACAGTGACCTGGTTATTGTTTTCTTTTTCTTTTTCTTTTTTGTTTTTTTTGAGACAGGGTTTCTCTGTATAGCCCTGGCTGTCCTGGAACTCACTCTGTAGACCAGGCTGGCCTCGAACTCAGAAATCTGCCTGCCTCTGCCTCCCGAGTGCTGGGATTAAAGGCGTGCGCCACCACTGCCCAGCTTTTTTTTCTTTTTTCTTTTTTTTTTTTTGGTTATTGTTTTCATTTAGAAATTAAGAATGGCATAAATAGGTATGATTGTGTGTCGAGTTGACAAGGAGTCAACTTTCGATGGCTATTCTTAGTTGTCAACTTGACTACATCTAGAATGAACTAAAACCCAAACAGCTGGGTATAGCTTTGAGGGTTTCCCCCTTAATTAAATCATTTGAGGTGGGAAGACCTGCTTTTAATAGGAATCTCTTGAGATAGGAAAATACATCTTTAATTCAGATCTTTTGAGGTTGGAAGATCCACCTATTAATCTGGGCCATACCTTGTTAACAGTCTACATAAAGGACATGAAAGAAAGCTTGCTCTCTTTGCCCGCTTGCTCTCAACGGCAAGTCCATTCCTTCACTGGTATTAGAGCCCAGCTGACGAATCCAGCCTGAACAACTAACTACTGGATCCTTGGGCCTTCTATTGGTAGACAACCATTATTGGACTAGCTGGACCACAGCCTGTAAGTCTTTTTAACAAATCCAATACATATATACATACATTCTGTTCCTCTAGAGAGCCCTGGCTAACACAACACTTTTCTATTAATGTTTAATTCCATCTTTTTCTTATACAGGATCTTGAGCTGCTGATTTACATGTCTCTGTCTCAAATACAAACCTAGCTTACATAATAACTCAGGCTAGTCAATCACACCATTATCAGTTCTGCTTCCTAACTGCTACCATGGCAAAAACAAAAACAAAAATTAAAAAAAATAAAACCCACCACCTTTGTGAAATACATAAATTCTCCTCTCTGTTCTTCTCCCAAAAGTTAAAATAATTTTTTTGAAAAGGGAAGAAGCTCATATTGCAGAGAATTTATAAAAATATGAAGAGAATGTAGAATTCAGTCTCTCCTGATACAAGAACAAGAAACAAAGGACTTTTCCACCTAACTTTTCCTTGACCAAACTTAACTGGACCTGCAAGATAACCTGATGAGAATTTGGTTCTAATGAGCACAGTAGCATAAACCCAGCCAAAGGAATGTTTTTATTTGCATACTAGAAAACTTCACATTACTATGATCTAGTTTTTCACACTTGCTATTTTGCTGCCAACTTAGACAGGGCCTTCCTAGACACCCAATTCAACATATATGTGATATATGTGGCCTGGGTTGTTCTCTGAGAGACAGTTTGTCTTTGTTTTTGTTTTTCTGGTTTTTTTTTTTTGTTTCTGTTTTTCGAGACAAGGTTTCTCTGTATAGTCCTGGCTGTCCTGGAACTCACTCTGTAGACCAGGCTGGCCTGGAACTCAGAAATCCGCCTGCCTCTGCCTCCCAAGTGCTGGGATTAAAGGCGTGCATCACCACTGCTCGGCATCGAGAGACAGTTTGTATTGCAGACACTTACACTTCAGAAATCCAACCTTCCCTCTCTAAGTCTCATCCATCTCCACTTCTAAATTGCCTGAATACAGTAAACCAAAACCGACGCATTTATCTACATAATAGTAACGTACACAGATTCTGTCTTAAACATAGAAACTGGAAGAGCTCTTGCTTAGTATAAGCCCTGGGCACATAGTACTGAGTATAGTGGTACATATCCATAAACCCAGCACTCCGGCAGTGAAGGAAAGAGGATTAGGAGTTCAAGAACAACCTATGCAGGCTGGAGAGATGCCCAGTGGTTAGGAGCACTGGCTGCTCTTCCAAATGACCCAGGTTCAATTCCCAACACTCACATGGCAGTTCTCAACTGCCTGTAACTCTAGTTCCAGGGAATCCAACACCTTCATACAGACACATATGTAGACAAAACACATAAAATAAACTATAAAAAAGAACAACCTTTCTTTCAGGCCCACATAGCCTACACAAGACCCTATCTCAACAGTAATTATTCTCTCTCTCTCTCTCTCTCTCTCTCTCTCTCACACACACACACACACACACACACACACACACACACAGAGGACAAAATACCCCAGCTACCCGCCTCTACCATGAGCAAAATATTGGGTTCAAACCCCTAACCCCCAAACACACACACACACAAAACCATTTTGATTTCAAGTATACCAGAAAAACCTTGACTACATTATGTATCTGTATACATACAGAATCTAAAAATCACATAAGCACATAATATACTCTCAAAGGTCAATCAGTTGGTCCAATTAGCTGTAAACCACAATAACTTTGAACCAAAAATGACAACATGACACTACTGAAGAGACAAAAATCAACCAAGAAAAGAACAGTATAATCTGGAGCAACTTGACAGGTGTAAAAATACACTGAGGTCACACACAAGAATATTCTTACTAACTAGGCATGGTGACACACACCTTTAATCCCAGAACCTGGGAGGCAGAGGCAAGCAGATCTCTGTGAGTTTGATGCCAGCCTGGTCAATATAGTGAGTTCCAGGACAGCCAGGGAGATATGTCATGGGATCCTGTCTCAAAACAGCAGCAAAACCAGTATTTTTACTATATTATCATATAGTTCTTTAATTGTTTTTTAATATGAGAAAAGGGCAAATAAAGACAAAGAATGTGAAGATACAAAGTAAGGATGAGGCAGAAATACATACATACACACACATACATAAAGAGGAAATAGTTTGGTGGGAGTCCTTGCTACTATTGAGAAAATTAATGTGATTACAAATCACGAAAATAGGGTGTAAGCCCAACCCACAATACTATATGATCTGGGCCACAGCTTTCCTTCCTCTCCAATCTATAAATGTACCAAGAAAGGAAGATAAAAAGACAGAAACACCTAGTGACTCGATACAAAGAGAGCGGGCAATAAGGATAACATAAAATAAATCTTACATTCCAAACAGAAGGCAATCAAAATGGAATTAAACTCTATCTCAATTGTGTTGGCACGAGACCAAATTTACTTTGCTATCCCAGACAAACGCAGTCGCTGGTGATCACCTCTCTTTTCCTCCACCAAAGCTATTTAATGGCAGGGCTATTTCCACACACTGGGCCTCGACTTCCTTTCCTAAAAATAATGCTAGGAGCGCTCAATAAATAAGCTTGGTGCGGAAACTGGAGAGCAGTGCTTACACCAACAGTCGTTACCGTCTAGTGGCTGACAGCCTGGAGCAGCCTCTGATCCGGGGTTCCCAGGAATACCGACGCCGATACTGAGACTTCACCCCGAAGTCCCGTCACCGGCGCCCGAAGCCCGCGCGCTGTCTAGGCTGTCCGGGCCCGCCCCGAGGACTCCCCTGCCTTCTCAGAAACATGGAGGAATGGCCCCCGGTGCACTGCTGTCTCCCCTCACCTTCACGTTACTTTCCCGGCTTCAGTTTGCAACAACTCGTAAGAGTCCAGCGCCTCACGACCGCTCCGGGACTCAACTGGTACGGTTGAAAATTTGAACTCAGACACCCGGTCGAATGCACCAATCAGAGAGCCGGAAGCCAACAAACCCTGCCCTCTGACTGGCCTCTGAAAAAGTCAGCGACACCGGAAGTTAGGAGGCGGGACAAGATGATAACTGGCCAGAGCGCCTTGAGAGAAATGTAGTCTCCTGCACGGAAGGTGGAGCATTGAAACGACTCGACTACAAAACCCAGAATCCTCTGCTCCTACTTGGTTTTGTTTAGGGATAGGATAGTGAGTTTTTTGTTTGTTTTGTTTGTGATAGGGCCACTTGGAGTCCTAGCTTGCCTGAATCCTCAGTGCAACTGGGGTTGACTTTAAACTTTTGATCCTTCTGCCTCCCCACGTCCCAAATGCAGGGACTTCAGATGTGTCTCATCATGCTAGGCTTGAACCTACTTAATTGGAAGAATTGGTACTAGAGTCTAGAAACTAGATGAAGTGAAACGACCCATTTAAGTATATAAAAGCAGTAGACTGCGTCCTAGGCCTCCTGGAAGTCATGGAAAGAAGTGTTTTAGTTTTTAAAGATTTTTCTCTCCATGTCTATGAATGTGTTTCCTACAATAAACCCAGTGTGGTAGCCCCGGTCTTTGATCCCATCATTCAGGAGGCAGAAACAGAATGAATCTATGCATTTTAAGCCCTAAGCCACCAAGCTAGTGTGCACGGAAAGTTCCAAGCCTGTCAGGGCTCCATAGGAAGGCCTTTTTTGTCTTTAAAAAGGCATATTAAAAGGGGGGGGGGGCTGAAGAGATGGCTCAGCGGTTAAGAGCAATGACTACTCTTCCAAAGGTCTTGAGTTCAATTCCCAGCACCCACATGGTGGCTCACAACCATCTGTAATAGGATCCGATGCGCTCTTCTGGTGTCTCTGAAGACAGCTACAGTGTACTCATATACATAAAATAAATAAATAAATATTTTTTAAAAAGGTGCACGGTGCTGGCACATGCCTTTAATCACAGCACTCAGGAGGCAGAGGCAAGTATATCTTTGTGATTTAGAGGCCAACCTGGTCTACAGAGCCAGTTCTAAGACAACCAGGGCAACACAGAGAAACTCTGTCTCAGAAAAACCAAAAAGGTGGGTATTGGAAAAGAGACAAATATGAGTTAGGGACAATGATATATGTTGCATTTCATACATGTATAAAAGGCACAATGAAACACAGTTTAAATACTAAAATTTAGAAGTTTGAATAAACGTTCTAAAATAACTTTAATTTTAGACTGTAAGTTTAATTTTTTTTCCAAACCTATTTTTTATTGATGGTTCTTAAATGCTTCAACCTCCCTTGTAGCCCACCACCCACCAGAGGTAGTAGGAAAGAAAGGACATGGGAGAGGGAGGGTTGTGGGGGAGGGATAGGACCTGTTTAGAAAGGTTCATTGGAGGAATTCCTGTCTGTGTTGTCTGAAAATCGGCAGCTTAGTTCACAGATTAGCAGCCACAGCTCAATCCACTCACAAACATGTCATGGATACACCAGTTCCATAGAGTCGGGTTAGCAACAACAATGACATGTTCTAACAGAGACAGCCAGGCCTCAGTCAACAGGAGGGAGACCCAGAAGCGATGCACAGCTAGCTCTGTAAGTAAGCCTAGCTCAGCCTCCATCACTGTCCACTGTGTCCTATTTATACCCTCCAAACATCATGTGTCCTCCACAGAGTCTTGCCTTAAGCGAGCATGTCTGTCTTAGCTGACATCATTCTGCCAAACAGCCCTTGTCCAAGGAAACAGCAAGTAACTGCAGCATACTACCAGAAGTTTTTTGGTGCGTTTCTCTCTATGGAGCCCCAAATGCAGCTGAACTATGCAGTGTAAGTCAGACCAATAAATGTGTGTCATTAGCAAAGAATCCTTCATCATGTGTCCTTTCACATGCTTGCTTCAGTAGAATATCCTCTTTTCAGTGTCTGCTTCAGCGAAATGTTTCTTCACGAGTCGGCCTTAGCCTTTCACACCTGTGTCCACTTTAACGAACCATTCCTTCACGTGTTTGCCCCAGCAAAACACCATCCAAACACCCTTAAGTTTCCACTTCATGAGATAGTTAATAGGTTTTCTATGTCAAAGAAATAAGCCAATTCGAACTGAGTTAAAAGGAAAAAATAAAAAAAAAAAGGCAGGTTTATTTGGATGGGTTCCTGTGCAAGTTCACCAGCCTCAGGGGACAAGACCTGAAAATACTGAGGGCAGACTATGATGGTGAAGTTTTTTAATAGATTGTAGGCAAAAAAAAAATGATCTGTGAGCCAGGCGGTGGTGGTGCATGCCTTTAATCCCAGCACTTGGGAGGCAGAGGCAGGCGGATTTCTGAGTTCGAGGCCAGCCTGGTCTACAGAGTGAGTTCCAGGACAGCCAGGGCTACACGGAGAAACCCTGTCTTGAAAAACCAAAAAAAAAAAAAAAAAAAAAAAATGATCTGTGACATGCTTGGCTTATGCTGGGGTGGGGGCTGGTGACTTCAGGTGAGAGGGTTTGAGACAAATGTCAGGAGTGTGGGACTAGGCTTTTTGAAGACTTTCTGTTTTCTCTCCTCCTCTCCTCCTAGCCCCTGTCCATCTCCCTCTATCCATCTATCTCTATCCCGGCCTACACATCAGGATGCAGCTCTCAGCTACCCCTCCATTGCTATGAGTACCAATGCTACCTGCCGTGCTGATAATAGATTAAACCTCTGAAACTGTAAGCAAGCCCCCAGTTAACGCTGTCTTCTCTAAGTGTCGCCTTGGTCATTGTCTTTCTTCACAGCAATAGAAGAATGACTAAGACAAGGAGAGAATGCTCCAACTAACCTAGACACCTCAGGCCACCAATAAAACCTCCAGTGTCAGAAATGGGTCACATCTTGTTCTTGCCAATGAGGTCTCCTGGCCCTTCTAAGCAGGGTGGGACATGGCAATGGGTCCCAAGATGGCAAACAGATCAAGCTCTTTCTTAAGACTGTTTGTTTGTTTGTTTTGTTTTTTTTTCAAAACAGGGTTTCTCTGTATAAAGCTGGCTGTCCCAGAACTCACTCTGACAGGCCTTGAACTCATAGAGATCCACCTGTTTCTGCCTTCCAAGAGCTGGAATTAAAGGCATGCACCACCAGCAGCCAGCTTTAAGATTAATGTTTAATTAGGTACATTGGGTAGATATGCAGGTATGAGTGCAGGTGGCTGCAGAGTCTCTGGAGCTGGAGCTACAGGTGATTGTGAGCACACAACAGGGGTGCTAAAAACCAAACTTGGGTGTTGCAAGATATTTGATCACGCTGTGGACCCAGAAATTGTGTTATTTACTTAGAAAACTGTTTTTAGTCGAGGTGTGGCTCAGCCTTAGCACACACCTTGAGTCCGTCTGCTTAAATATTATAAACAGGATTAAGTAAAGTCAACCATAGGTTGAGAGCTGGAACAAGCAACCGGTTGACAGGAAGTGAATGTAGAATTATTAAGAGAAAAGCCATGGAGAATAAGTAGGAGTCAAGAGGAAGGATAGACAGCAGAAGGGAGGGACATCCAGTAGGAGAAGGTTTTTAAGACATCAGGAGAGAAGGGCATTCCTTCTGGGACACTGACTGCAGAGGAAGGTCAGACAGCTGTTTTCTCCACCCCTCTGAGCTAGCAGGCTTTCCCTCCAGCGTTTGGCTCCCAAGTCTTCATTGGTAAAACTGAACAATTGAGATTTTTGTCTAAAAACTACCCTTGGGTCCTTTCTGCAGGAGCAGTACAAGCTTGAAAACAATGTGGTGGTTTGAATAAGAATGCCCACAAAAAAAAAAAAAAAGAAAAAAAAAAAAAAGCTGGGCAGTGGTGGAGCATTGCCTTTAATCCCAGCACTTGGGAGGCAGAGGCAGGTGGATTTCTGAGTTCAAGAGTTCGAGGCTAGCCTGGTCTACAGAGTGAGTTCCAGGACAGCCAGGACTACACAGAGAAACCCTGTCTCAAAAACAAAAACAAAAACAAAAACAAAAACAAAAAAACAAAACAAAAAAAAAGAATGCTCTCTACTACAGGTTCCTAGAGTTGAATGCTTGGTCACTCAGATGTGCTACTTGATAAGGATTAGGAGGTGTGGCCTTATGGAGTAGGTGTGACTTCATTGGAGAAAGTGTGTCACTAGGGGTGGGCTTTGGCCTTTCGAATGCTCAAGGCAGGTCCAGTGTCTCTCTCTTGCTCAGCCTGCAAATCTCAGCTACCTGTTCGGCACCATCTCTGTCTACATCCCACCAGGTTTCTTGCCGTGACACTAGTGGACAAAATGCATGAAACTGTAAGCCAGACCCAATTAAAAGCTTTCTTTTATAAGAGTTCCCATGGTTAGTTGGGCATGGTGGCTGGTGCCTTTAATCCCAGCACTCGGGAGGCAGAGGCCATCAGATCTTTGTAGACCAGGCTGGCTTCGAATTCAGAGATCTGCCTGCCTCTGCTTCCTAAGAACTGAATTTAAACCGGGCGGTGGTGGCGCACGTCTTTAATCCCAGCACTCGGGAGGCAGAGGCAGGCGGATTTCTGAGTTCGAGGCCAGCCTGGTCTACAGAGTGAGTTCCAGGACAGCCAGGACTACACAGAGAAACCCTGTCTTGAAAAAACCAAAAACAAACAAACAAAAAAAAAAGAAGAAGAAGAAGAAGAACTGAACTTAAAGGTGTGAGCCACCATGCCTGGCCCTTCACTGAGTGCTTATTGTGAGCATTCTCCATGTCTGTTTTCCTATAAATAAGCGAAGGACAGTGGCTACTTTGACTTCCTAAACTGCTGGCAACTGCTGGACTCTTCCCTGATACCCTTGCTTCTGTGAGTAAAAAGACCGTCAGTCAAATGACCAGAATATCCCCACGACAGCACCAGCAATTCTGAAATGCTACACAGATGCCATCAGGAGATTATAGGACTGTGGTCACAGCTGCTTACTCTGCTTCCTGAAGACACAGTTTCTTCCAGGACTGTTTCCGTTTGTACCAAACATCTTGCTATCACAAGCC